TCATCATCATCATCATCAGCATCATCATCACCACCACCATCATCATCAGCATCATCATCAGCATCATCATCATCATCATCACCAACACCAGCAACAACAATGTCATCGTCATCGTCACCGTCACCGTTACCGTCATCGTCGTCGCCCTCGTCATCACCGCCACCAGCATCATCAGCATCATCATCATTGTCAGCATCGTCATCTTTATCGTTGTCGTCGCCGATGTCGTCGTCACCATCATCACCCGCCTTCCCGAGTCACAAGCCCGCAGGATCGTCGTGCCATTGCGCCAGCTGAATCATGCCAAAAAGTTGCGGGCGGGTTGGTGGGATAGGTTGCTCGAGCATTGGAACTTGCGGCTCCAAGCTCTCATAACGTTCACATTCACCCACAGGTTGCACCACACAGATTGCACCGCACAGTCACCCATCACCCATGGTGCATCCCACAAATCCCCCGTTCAACCGAAAGATATATTCCACCACCTCACCCGGGGTTATCGCGCCCCCTGGGGTATTGATATCATGGTTTCCTGCACGATCGTCCATCCTGAACGTCCTCCTCTCCCCCATCCCCCCTAAACCCTGTCAAAGAACACCACGCGCGCACACCAGCGTATCTCAAAAAACCACGTTCCATAATCCCTGGCTAGAGTGACACAACGATCACACGCGCGCCCTTGTCAAGATCATACCAAGTACACTACAGCCGACCCGTACCATAAGGATGCACGATAAGGAAGCAAGGGCTTGGAAGGCCATTTTGGAGTTGTCCGAGCGAGGCGCGGCCAACAGAAGTGGCCAAGGATGAATCGAGAAGGCAAGGATGCAAGGGTACCGTTGGGAACGTTATCCATGCTTACCATGCGGTTTGACTGTAGCGCTGCACGCATGTCAGTATACTTGCCCGAGAAGTACCAAATCCCTTCGCCCAGGGAGCAGCGAGGTCCCGTCTGGGCCCGCGGGCCACCCCACCCCGCTGAAACTCCCAGGAGCTGACGGAAGTGGTGACAGTGGCGCTTCTCGCAGCCGCCCCCCCCCGGCCAGGGAGCCGCGAGGTCCTGGCTGGGTCTGCGTACTCCCCGACTCCGCCGTCCCTCCCAGGGGCCCAGGAAAGTGGCGACAGCTGCAGCCAGCTCGCAGCCCCCCGGGGAAACGAAATGTCTCGACTGGGTCCGCGTACTCCCCCGACTCCGCTGGACCTCCCAGGAACCCACGAATGTGGCGACGGCTGCGCAGCTCGCAGTCCTCCCGCTTTGGTCCGCGCACTCCCCTACTCAGCCGTGCCTCCCAGGAGCCGACGGAAATGGCGACACCTTTGCACGTCGCAGCCACCCAGGCAGCAGCGAGGTCCCGTCTAGATCTGAGTACTCCCCGACTCCGCCGTGCCTCCCGGGAGCCCACAAGAGTGGCGACGGCTGCGTAGGTCGTTGCCACCCCAGGGAACAGCGAGGTCCCGCCTGGGCCCGCGAACTCCCCGACTCCACCGTGCCTCCCGGGAGCCCACGAACGTGGCGACGGTTGCGCAGTTCGTTGCCACCCAGGGGGAAGCGAGGTCCCGGCTGGGTCTGCGTTCTCCGCGACTCCGCCGTGCCTCCCAGGAGCCCCCGAAAGTGGCGGCATTTGCGCACTTCGCAACCCCCCAGGGAGCAGCGCAGGAGGAGGCAGGAGGACGGGGGCGGGAAAAGGTGGAGACCACATTGCTCTGTTCCAAAGCAAGAACCCAACACAGGAAGGTTGGGAAAAACATCAAAACCCATAGGCTTATGTCGGGCGTGTCCCCCTACAGGGGGATCTTCGACGGAAAATTTAAAATACCCCGAAAATACCCCAAGAAGGTCAACAAATACTCAAAAAATAGTCTCCAGACTATTTTTGGACTATCTTTTTACTATCTTTGGGGTAGGGGGACAGGCCCGACTTAACCATAGGCCTGTCATCACAAGTCTTGCACATGCTCTGCCCGCGCGCATCTGCTTAAATCAAACGGACATCGTATGATTGGAACAATGTCGGCCGGAACCCGCAGCCTAATCCCACCATGCGGCGCACCCGCGTTGACCCTGCAGGCGGCCAGCGCGCGAATAATCCGTATCAAATGGTTCCATGCGGGCCACACGTTCGCGCCGCCGCCACGCGCACGCGTCGAGGTCCGTCCAAAACCATTGGTTATTGAAGCATGTCAAAATAAAGCTCCCAAACACATTTGGGACACCGACACAGAGTCTGGCGGGTGTCTTGCATGTTTGAGAGCGCACTTCCTCACGATCACTCTCATCAACGCCACCGCATCACCGCTGTTATCATCATCGTCAATCGCTGCCTTTGCCGCCATCGCCAGTCAATCCCCTTCACCACCGACACATGGAAATAATCGCTGTTACCGTTGTCATCAGCACGGGCGCCGTCTTCGGCCTGGCCGTCGTCATCGCCATCATCGCCTCCACCACCGCTAGTATTATCATCATCGCCAACATTGTCGACGTCATCTGGTATCGCGTCCGCTCGACTCGTCGAACCACACTGAAGTGGCCACGCACCAGAGCGTCCATTGAGACGCGCTGGGAAGTTCCCAAGTTCCCAGTGGTAAGCGCTATCTCGGCTGCATCAGCTGTGCCAAACCAGCCGGTCTCTCTGCGCCCGAGCTTGCGCGCGCCAGCGCCGCGGCAGAGATGCGCCAGCCAGTGCCAAGCAGCCATGGCAATCGTGGCCACATGGGCGGGTGGGAGGGTGCGATGTTTGCAGTGGAACTGCCGACTCACGATTTACAAAGGAGAATTACACCGAGTAGATTGCACCCCGTATCTTACGCATACAGAGTGCAGGAACCCAGTGTTCCGGATCCACAATGTTTTCACGCTCCGTACCTGTGCTTGTACGCATCTCTAAATATAGCGCACGCCGACCAGCTCTGCCTGTGTTCTACCACATCGGCCACCAAGCGATGCCACAGCGAAACAGACGCCACGGCGTGAAGTGTCGGAGGCGGCCAAGAGGGTTGCGGATGCCATGACAATGGACACTCGAACAGCCCTATCACTGTATTGAGTTTGTGCTTTGATGTTTCAACTGTTTAAAAAATGTTCCAAACATGTCGTTTGCCATTTGTAACATGTTTTAAGCATGTTCCAAACATCTGGAAATGATTTGACAATAAGAGGGGGGCTTCCGAGAGGGGGCGTCCAAGAGTGGGGGGGCGGGCGCAGATCATGGCTGGCAGCACGTGCGTCTTCCACAAGAGAGGGGGCATCCAGGATGGGGGCGTCCAAGAGGAGGGGGCGTTCAAGAGGGGGGCGTGCAAGAGGGGGGCGTCCAATGAGCGTCTTCCACAAGAGGGGGGCGTCCAAGAGGGGGGGAGCGCAGATCATGGCCGGCGGCACGTGTGCGGCCCACGGGGGCGGGGGGCCGGGGACGCAATGAGATAAGAGGAGGCGCCATGAAATCTGGGGAGAAATCGTGCCCCCCACCATCCCCCCCCTCTTGGCCGCACCCGAACCCAGACATCCAGCGTCTTGAAAAAATCGAGACGCAGGTTTTTCCCAGCTTTCGGCCTCGCGGGGCCCTTACCGGGCCTCGGGCCGGCAAAAAACGACTCGGGATGAAAACCCGGCCCTGGGGAAGTGGTCGAGAGGTCGGGGGCCCGCGTCTCGAGAAAATCGAGACGCCGGATGTCCGGGAAGTTGGGAGGCCCGGAGAGAGGAAGCAGGGGCTGCCCAGGCCGCCCGGCATTCGCGCGCCTCGCGCTGCGCCGCGAGAGCACGCCTGCCCTCGCGAGCCCGCGCGCGGATGCGCCTGGAGAGGAGCACCTCTCGGGCCCTCCGGCCGGCGAGGCGCGAACCGCGCGGTCCACCCCGCGCCTCCGCCCGGCGAGGCGCCAGGAAGTCTGGGGAGATAGCATGGCCCCCGCCACGGTATCCCCCCCCCCTAGTCATCACCCCCCTCTTGGCCGCCCCCGAAATAGGCGGGCCAGAGCGTGCCGTGGGCGAGCCGGGGCGCAGCCATGTCAGGCAGTGCTCACTCTCTGCTGCCATCCCCGATAAGGGGAGGTGGGGAGACGCACGACTTCGGCTCAGGCCCAACGCCTGCGCAAGGGAAGATAAGAAGCAGCAGCAGCAGCAGGAAGAGCAGGAGGAGGAGCAGCACGCGGGCGAGGTGGAGTCAGGAGAGGAAGGGGGTGCAAGACGCGGAGCATTAGGATGATGCGGGAAGGGGCCAAGACGACGAGTATTAGGATGAGAGGGGGGAGAGAAGAACTGGCACGGCGAGGGGAAACGACCTAGAACAGGTTTTCCAACGAGGAATCCCGCTCTCAGAAATATAGGGCCGCGCTTGTCAACGATCTCTGAGCTTCCTACGGTGACCCAAGGCTTCTGTGGGTACCCAGGGCCATCGGGGGATTAAAAAATTCCCATGAGGCATCTACTGGAAGACTAGGTTCTTGTTTGATGCGCCTACGCAGTTGCGTATAGCGCAGGATATGGTCCTCTCCTCATGGGCTGCGGCATGGGCGTCGCCCCGCATGCGGCCGTGCCCAGTGAGGGACAGAAGGAGAGAGAAAGGGAAGAGCCAGAGCGGGACGGCGAGCGGGAGAAGGACGTGAAGGGACAGGGCGGACAAGGAGAAAGACGACGGCGACAACGAGGACGAGGGGGACGAGAGGGAGGGGGGAACGGAGGACCAGCACTATAGCAAGGGGAGGGCAGGGAAGCGGCGGCGGCGGCGGGCGGCGGCGGCGACGACGACGACGGCGACGAGGCAGCCCCGCCCTTGTGTTGCATCCTCGGAAGACATTGTCTGTCCTGTCGCGGCCCTATCTGCGACGAATCCGTGTCGAATCCATCTCGGACTCGTCGGATCCGTGTCGAATCCGCGTCGGATCCACGCAAAATCCACGTCTAGTCCGTATCGAGCCCGCGTCGGGCACAAGAGAAGACACCAATTTTGGGGACTGGCGAGGTCCCCCGACGATGCAACGTAACCCCCCCCCTAAGCAGGAGCCGCCGACGGAGGCACGGACGAGATGCCCGAGAAGGCGCTCTGCGCGGGCGGCGGGGCCCACCTTGGCCGCGCGCCGCCGCGCCACCGCCCCGCGCCGGCCGAAGCTTGCGCTCGACCGTCGGCGATCGATCGCAAACTTGGGCAAACGATGAGGAGGAAGAAGACTCAAAAAATGGAGGAGGAGGAGGAGGAGAAGAGCGAGCGAGATAGGAAGCGGGGGGGGGGAGAGAGGGATGGCGAGGGAGGGAGGGAGGGAGGGAGGGAGGGAGAGGGGGAGGAAGAGGGAGAGAGAGAGAGAGAGACAGAGAGCTCGAATCCAAGCTGGGGCCGAAGTTTGCGCGCGACCTTCGGGATTCTTGGGCGCGTTTGGCCCTCGCGCCGGAAAGGCCCGTCGTCCCACGCTATCGCGCGGCACGGCGGCCTTTTCGTCTAGTCATCATCACCACCACCACCAGAACCACCATCATCATCATCATCATCATCATCATCAGCAGCAGCAGCAGCAGCATCAGCATCAGCATCAGCATCATGATCATCATAAGCATCAGCATCAGCATCAGCATCATCATCATCATCATCATCACCGTCATCATCATCATCTCATCTCATCTCATCTCATCCCATCTCATCTCATCTCATCTCATCTCATCTCATCTCATCATCATCATCATCATCCGCATCCTCATCATCATCATCCGACTTCTGAGGATCACCACAAACATTCATCATCATATTCATCAGCCGCACCATGGTAATCATCATCAACAGCATCAGCATCACTATCACCATCATCCTCGTAATCATCATCATCGTCATCAGCATCATCACCATCACCATCATCATCGTCATCATCATCACAATCAACATCATCGTCATCGTCGCCGTCATCATTATCATCATCGTCATCATCAGCATCATCACCATCATCATCGTCGTCATCATCATCATATTCATCATCTTCATCATCATGACCATCATCATGACAATCATCATCATCATCAGCAGCAGCAGCAACATCATCATCGGCGTCGCCATGGCAATCGCCGTCGCCATCGCCACCACCATCATGATCACCAGCGCCAGTCTCATCGTCGACATCCTCGTCATCATCAGCCACCTCAGCATCACCAGCATCATCATCAACATCAACGATGTCATAGTCGTCGTCGTCGTCGCCATCATCATGATCATCATCAGCATCATCATCATCATCATCGTCATCATCATCGTCAGCAGCAGCATCAGCATCAGCATCGTCATCATCATCATCATCATCATCATTACGGCAGCATCATCATCAGCATCATCATCACTATCATCATCATCATCATCATCGTCATCATCGCTATCATGTCGTCGTCGAGGTCATCAAACTCAGCATCATCACCGTCAAAATCAGCATCACCGTCAGAATCATCGTCATCACCATCGTCGTCATCGTCGTCATCATCGTCATCATCGTCATCAGCATCATCGTCATCATCATCGTCGTCATCGACATCGCCATCGCAATCAACATCGATATCGTCATCGCCATCGACATCAGCATCAGCATCAGCACGAGCATCAACATCAGCATCAGCATCAGCATCAGCATCGTGCTCATCATCGTAACCACACTTGTGACCACCGACGTAGTAATCAACAAAACCAACACTATCGTCACACTGATCCTCATCGCCGTACCCCTCTCACTCCTACTCCGCTCCCTCCCTTTTCTTTCTAGAGCACCCATCGTCAAATTCGTTTCGGAAGAGGCTGCTTCCATGGAGAGTTCGAGATTGCCCTGTCCTCTTCATCCTCGTCCCACTGATATTCCTTTTCCTCCTCCTCCTCCTCCTCCTCGTCCTCGTCCTCGTCCTCGTCCTCCTCCTCCTCCTCCTCCTGCTCCTGCTCCTCTTCCTCTTCCTCCTCCTCCTCCTCCTCCTCCTCCTCCTCCTCCTCCCCCTCCTCCTCCTTTCTACAATTACACATTATGAATACGACTCCTCTCTCACCCGACTCCGTCCGGAAGATAGTCCGTTCTCTCCGCGTACAGTATTTTGAGACACGGAATTCAAACATGTTCCCTAAACAGTGCTTGTACTTGAGGGTTCTTCAATCTCCTCTGGGGAACAGGGCCTGGCTCGCGGTCTCGCGGCTCCGTGCTCGCCGTCGCCGCCCCGTCGCCGCGTCGCCGCTCGTTTGGGCCTGGCTGGCAGTCTGGCGACTCCTTGCTCGCCGTCGCCGCCCCGTCGCCGCCTCGTTGCTGCCCGTCGTCTGCGCCTAGCTGGCAGTCTGGCGGCTCCGTGCTCGCCGTCGCCGCCCCGTCGCCGCCTCGTCGCCGTCCCGTCGCCGCCTACATTCTCCTTTCTAAAAAAAGAATAGGGTCTACACCCCCCCGGCGTTATCGGCCCCCCTTTCGGGTGTGTACATCATATGTGATTATGACCACATGTCCATCCTGAAAATGAACTTACACTATCCCAGGGGGGCCGCCATCGACCCCCTGAGGGTCCCTTGTAAAAAACATGCGCGGGGACATTTCTTTGTTCTAACATAAGACTTTTTCGCGAATCCCTTGTAACAAATGGGACGAAGTGCACACGCACGCGCCGTCGCGCGCGCATGCCGAAATCCTCCAAAAACTTTCGGTGTCGAAGGATTTCGCAATCGAGTTCCCAAACGACATACAAAAACACAGGGTTTCGCAACACTGATTTGCTAAAAAAGCTTACGCGCGAGCTCTTCCGACATCTTAAAGAAACCATAGGTTTTGCAGGATGTTCACAACATGCTACCAAACGGGCTTCGTGCGCGCGCATGCCTTCAAAACCCATCGGCTTCGGACGGATTTCAACATGGCGTGTCCAAAGAACTTACAAAAACACCAGGTTTCGCAACACGGATTTTCAACAAAAGCGTGCGCACGCGCTCTTGCGTCGTCGTCGTCGTCGTCGTCGCCGTCCTCCCTCCTCCCGCGTCGTCGTTGTCGCCTACGTCGTCCTCTGTCTTTCCTCGTGTTCGTCGTCGTCGTCCTCTTTGGCGTCGTGGTCGTTTCCGTCGTCGTTGTCGCCGTGGTCGCCTTTCCTCCTCCTCCCTCGACGTCGTCGTCGCCCGTCGTCGGCGTCTCGTCGTCGTCCCTCCTATTTCGTCGCCGTCGTCGTCGTCGTCGTTGTCGTCGTCGTCGTCTTCCCTCCTCCCTCGTCGTTGTCGTCGTCGGCGTCGCCGGCCGTCCTCCTTCTTAGTCGTTTGCGTCGTCGCCGTCCTCCCTCCTCCCTCGTCGTTGTCGTCGTTGTCGTCGGTGTCGCCGTCGTCGTCCTCCCTCCTCCCTCGTCGTGGTCTTCGTTGGCGATGTCGTCGTCGTCTTCGTCGTCGTCGTCGTCGGCGTCGTCGACGTCTTCGTCGTCGTCGACGTCGGCGTCGTCGTCGTCGCCGCCGTCGTCGTCGTCGTCGTCGGCGTCGTTGACGTCGTCGTCGTCGGTGTCGTCGTTGTCGTCGTCGTCGGCGTCGTCATCGTCGTCGTCGTTGTCATCGTCGTCGTCGTCGTCGGCGTCGGCGTCGTCGTCGCCGTCGTCGGTGTCGTCGTCGTCGTCGTCGTCGTTGTCGGCGTCGTCGAAGTCGTTGGAGACGTCGTCGGTGTCGTCGTAGTCGTTGTCGGCGGCGTCGTCGTCGTCGTTGTCGCTGTCGTCGTCGGCGTTGCTGTCGTTGCCAAGTGCCATTTGGTACCCACCGTCACGGTCTTAAGAGATGTTGCAAACCAAGTTGCGGGTGCGTGGGTGGAATGTTTGCGCGAGCAGTGGAGTGGACAACTCACTGCGAACAGAAATTAATTGCACAACATCGGTTGCACCACATCGACTGTACAACACCGAGTGCACCACATAGATTGCACCGCATAGACTGCGCCAAATCGAGTGCTCCATACTGATTGTGCCACTACTGCACAACATATATTGCACCACACAGAGTGCACCACGTTAAATTCACCACATGGAATGGACCACACACATCGCACAACTCAGTTTGCACCACGCATACTGCACATCGCTAGTTGCACCACATGCATTCACAACACAGGGTTCACAACATAGATTGCGCCGCATGGGTTGCGCACCGCATAGGTTGCACCACATAGTCTGCACCACTGATATTTCACAACAAAGATTGCGGAACATGCATTGCCCCACCTATACTGCACCACCTAGACTGCACTACATAGATTACACTACAAATACTGCACACCAACAATATAGTGCACCACGTAGATTGCACACCATATGTTGCGCAACATAGATTGCGACACTCATATTGCACCACACAGAATGCTCCTCCCAGATTGCACAACATATACTGGTTGAAACACTGCTCGGAGTCCACACTGGCAAACATGTGTTGTTCCGATGGCTCTGTGTTACCATCCGGATGTATCTTTGGGGCACGAACTTGTGCTCCCGCTCCAGCATGGGCCTCATTTTAGGATCGGGGCTTTGCTTCCGTCATTCAGATCCGCCACCTCCTCCTCCGCTGTCTCCTCGGCCTCCTCCTCCTCCTGCTCCTCATCCTGCTCCTCATCCTCCTCTCCTCTCCTCCTCCTCCTCCTCCTCCTCCTCCTTTTCCTCAAGCTATGTACGCAGCTCCCCGCTTCATAGAGCGAACAACACGATCGGGTCTGTTTCGTAGACCCAGGTCCGCTATGACACGCGTCCGCGGAGAGAGAAAATCGGCGCAATGGGAAGGGATGGTCGCAGGGGGATGATGTCAGACATGGCGCGAGCGCGCCTAGCCTGCTTCTCTTCTCTGTCATCTCTTCTCTAACTTCTCTGTTCATCCTCCGCTGATCCTCCTCCTGCTCCTCCTCCTGCTCCTTCTCCTCCTCCCCCTCCTCCTCCTCCTTCTCTTCCGCCTCATCCTCCTCCATCCTTTTCCTTGTAAACAACTCCTCTCTGTCGCACGCCCAGCCGTGTCGGTAGGGCGGGCAGGGCCTTTCGCCTGAGACTTCCTTACCATATATGGTCCTGCAGCTTGGAATTTGCAACAGCTTCAAAGATGGAGGGCGAGTCCTTCTCAGAATGTGGCTATCGCCGACGCGCCGGGCACATTGGTCTGACACATTTGCAGCAGCTTCAATTAGGGAGGGCGGGTCCTTCTCAAAATCCTCTTCCTCTTCCTCCTCCTCCTCCTCCTCCTCCTCCTCCTCCTCCTCCTCCTCCTCCTCCTCCCGCCTACCCGCCCATCCACACAAAGCCCCCCCCGGGGCTTCCGAGGGCGGCACGGGTCCTGCCCTGGCGCGTCCCCGAGCGCCTTCGGCGAGCGCTCGCGCCGGCGCCGGCGTTCGCGCGACCGGTCGCGCGAGCGGCTGCGCCTGCGGGGGGGGGGGGGCTCAGGAGAGGCTGGGCAGGCTGTCCCTGGCACCCGCATGGGGGGAGGATGAGGAGGGGGACGACAACGACGACGAAGACGACGACGAGGACGACGAGGACGAGGAGGACGAGGAGAGAGGAAACACGAGGAAGCACGAGGAGGAGGAGGAGGAGGAAGAAGAAGAAGAAGAGAAGATAAGAAGAAAAAGAGGAGAAGGAGAGGAGAAGGAGGAGGGAGGGAGGAGGAAGACGAGGGGGAGGCACGAGGAGGAGGAGGAGGAAGAGGAGGAGGATGAGGAGGAGGATGAGGAGGAGGAAGAGGAGGAAGAGGAGGAGGAGGAGGGGGAGGAGGGAGGCGGAGGACGAGGAGGCGGAGAACGATGACGAGGAGAGACAGACTAACACGCAGCCGATACTCTCTCGCCCGCTCTCTGGTGGGGGGGCGTCGTTGTCGCCACCGCCGCCGCGGCTGTCGTCGTCGTCGTCGCTGTCGTCGTCGTCGTCGTCGTCGTCGTCGTCGTCGTCGTCGTCGTCGTCGTCGTCCACTTCGTCGTCGGCGGTCGGCAATCGCTGCCGCCGCCGCCGTCGCCGTCTTCGTCGTCGTCGTCAACGGCGTCGTCGTCAACGACGTCGTCTACGCCGTCGTGGTCGCCGACGGGGTCGGGGGCCATCCCGTGGCCCTGCCAAACAAGCGGGGGAAGAAGGAGGAGAGGCAGCAACAAGGAGGAGGAGGAGGAGGAGGAGGTGGAGGAAGCGCGATGCATCCCAAGGGAACGATGACACAGACTCGTACCCACGCCGATGGCTGCTGGAACAGCAGAGCAGAGGCGGGGAGGGGGGACACACACGAGTGGGGGAGGAGGTATTCGAGGACAGGGAAAGATAGGACACGACAGGACAAGCACTCGCTCCTCCTCCTCCTCCTCTTCTTCCTCCTCCTCCTCCTCCTCGTCCTCGTCCTCCTCCACCTCCGCTTTCTCCTCCTCCTCCTTTTCCTTTTCCTCCTCCTCCTCCTCCTCCTCCTCCTCCTCCTCTGTTCCTCTGTTCATACCATGATGCGGTCCAGCTCCCGAGGGCCACACTACACACGCGACGACGAAAACGACGGGCGGCTAGCCTTGCAGCCGTTCCTCTGGCAGCCTCCAATTCCGACCGAAACGTTTGCCGTCGGATGGATTCTTGCCAAATTCCGCCAGGCTCTGCACGGAACCTTTCTTGCGAGGGGCTCCATGACACTGGAGGAAGAGGTTGATCGACCGCTGGGTGGCAAACGCACCACACTTTGAGCACCAAACAATGCCCCCATACTCAGCCACAATCTGTGGGTCTCATGAGCTTTCCTCGCAATCGTTGGTATACCCGTGCATGGGGCCAGGCAGAGGCCTGCCCTTGACTCGGAACGGCCCCCACACAAGGTACAGAAAAACCGAAATTAGACTTCACCTGCCCTGTGCACTCTGTGGCCGTTGGCATCTGCCGCCAGCTCCAGGCCCCCTGTTTTTGTCCCTAGCAGGGGCCCTTATCTGGGACACATCCTTAAACACCCCTTTCCGAGAGAGCATGCAAAACCTAAGCCTGGAAAATCCAAAGATGCCTCACCTGCTCGGAAATAGAAACACACTGGGCTTTGGCCCTCGGGCTGCTCGGGTGCATCCTGGCCCCTTCGCCCGCCAACGCGTCGGCCTCACGGTTGCCCGCCCACGCCCAGACAGGGATCCCCAGGTCCGACGCTTTGGCTGGGGAAAGATGGATCCTCACACTGATGAGGGTGATGTGTTCTCTCCCAGAGTCCTCGCTAATGTGGAAGATTTGTTCCAGAGCTCGCCATAGGCGATCTGATCAATGCTCTTGTCTAAGCCCCATGCCACACATCCATCACCATCTGACAGTACGCGGCGACCGTGACAGCGCCGACTGACGGGAGCGAAGACACATGAGCAGCGCATACCCTTCCCCACACCCAGCACAGAATGCAGGAGAGGGCCATGAAAGGAGGCAGTTATAGAGGCAACTGTCGGACCCATCCGAACCACAGCCCATCCTGCCCTCGTGAATGGTTTATCTGAATCATTCGCAGAACCATTCATACACACTCTGGACGCCAACATGCCCGAAGCAGGCCTTTTCAGCCACACCACTCTCCCATGAAAGTCTGGAACAGGCCATGTGGCCTCTGGGGACTGGGGACGCCCACGGTTATACTGGATCAGACACGCGCCAGGACGAGCGGCATTCAACTCAACTTCGGGGAGGTCGAGCATATTTCTGAGGCCGCGATGCGCAGGACACCTGCGCAACCGGCGCATCTGGGCACCAGCCTTGAGACCGCATATGTGGCACGAGTAGTCCACAACACGGCGTTTTCAAACAGGCGCGCTTGCGTTGGGTAGCCTCCCGCTACCAAACCAAACAAAAGCCAGGCCTTCTTCTCACTCTGCTCCCCCACCGCCCCCCTGCGCCCCCGACGTAGCTGGATAAGCGGCGCGAGCAGCGGCAAAGGCGGAGCCTGGAACGGCTCCAAACCGATCTTCGCGCGAAGAGCCTCCCGGGCATCCTGCTCGATGAGCTTGCGAAAAACTTGCTTCCCATCATCTCGAAGATCGAGGAGGGCCCCTCTCCCTGTCTTCCATGGATACCATCAGACTGACTCCCAGCCCAGCCCACGCAGCGCAAGGGCGGCGACTCCAGCGGCGCCATTCGCCTCGGGCATCCAAGCAGGCACGCAGGACATCGGGCGGAGACCAACCTCCTCGCACAGCTGGCATGCAACGAGAGTGACAGGCCAGTGCGTCTTGACACCGGTGCCCTCGTTCCTCCTGACCCGATTCGCAACCTCCACCAATGCTTTGCTGACAACGAAAAAATCAATGGCGCAACAGGTCTCGGCCGTCGATCGGCACGTCGGTTCACGAGTATGCACCGCAGTGCCTCCTGGCCTGTCGGGCCATTTACTTGCCGTCAGCTCCTCGGGCGCGCAGTTCCCATCGCCACCGGCAATGAGAGGGATGCCCAGCCCAAACACAGATTCATCAAGGCGAGCCAGCAGGCGCTGGCCTTCATGCCCAAGAGGGCCCCCTTCACACAGGCAAACGCTGATAGCCAGAAACCCTCCCAGGACGAACGCGTTCACGCGCGCAGCCAAAACCCCGTGTGGGCTCGGGGGGGCCATGGTGAAGTTTGGGGCCTTGCCTATGCCCACGCGGCACTTGACCGCGATGCCCACGCCAGACGACAAGCCTCCATGTTCCGTGACCTCCGAAGGGGTTGAGCGCCTGGGCCCAGCTGCGAGCATTCATGGAGTCCTCGCGGGCCTTAACGGAGTCGGCGTCTGTGGACACCTCCCGAAGGAAAACCACAGAGGCCTCAGTCTCTTTTGTCCAGAACTGCGACAGGGAGGACCAGGGCACAGCGTTGCACGTCTCCAGCAAGAAGGTCCTGTCCTGACGGGAGTTCCTGCGAGAGTACTTTTGTGGATCCTCAACTGCGCGCGCATTGCCGGGGCTTCGTGGCTCTCTGACGGGAAAGACCAAGACTGCTCCCTACATGCCTACTCTCCCTCTTGGGCGATACTACTGGCCCAACACTCGCTGCCTGGAGCCTGCTCGAACTCTCGCGGGGCGGCGGGGGATCCAGCGCTGGCCTCCATGGCAGCCCGCGGGATAGGAGAGAAAAAAAAGGGAGTATCCTGGGCTCCAAGCCAAGCCTGGAACGCCCGCGCCCCAAGACCAGGAGCTGGGCTCCATGGTCACAGAGGCCTCGGCCTTCGACAAACTGGCTCTAGAATCAACAACGTTGGCATCGCTCTGGCCATAAGTGATTGACACAAGTCTGACGGGTCAACGCTGCGATCATCCCACAGATGCCCCGCGGGCCAGCGGCGCCAGTCCGCCGCCAACCCAGCCGCGGTTGGCGCTGAGATCGGCTCTGGCACAGCACTGGTTACACATGGGATACGTAAACTGCGACGGCCTGCCATGCCGCCTGCAACCTCCAGCATCTGATCTACCGAGGGCATGGCAGACTTAGTGTCATTGCGCACGTCGTCAAAGCACTGAACATGGCGTGCCGCGGGAAGTGGAAGGGCACAGCTCCACTCAATGCCCCCTGCAACGCAAGCCCAGAAGACGCTTAAGAGAAGACTTGGGCATCACCTGGGACTTTAGACCATGTTTGCTGCGCGCTGAAGCGCGGCATCATGATCGGAAGCATCGACCGCCTGAGACTCGACTGCGATCGCGCTCGCATCTGCCGCCTGGGTCACAGCGTCCGCCACAGGCGGCCGCGGCGGGCGGCCAGCGCTCGCAAGCTCTGCAGCCACCCCAACACCGCCGCCAGGAGCGCCTTTTGCAGGCGCTGGCGCATGCGATGCCTCAGCCTCATCCGCACGGCGGCGCTTGCTCGTCGTGCGGTCATTGAAGGCGTGCTGCTCCGCCACCTGGGTCTTCGCAAGCCCACGCACAGCACCAAATGCTTGCTGGACTGCCTCCTTGATGGAGGTCTCGAGGTCGCTCTTCCGCTTGGCGGCCTCATCCTTCTCCTGCTTCGAGAGCTCAACCCCAGCAGCCCCAAAGCCGAAGAGACCATGGTCGATAACCCCGATACTATCACATGAGGGGAGCTGCTCGACGTCGAGGCCGTGCTTCGTCTTGGCGCCGCCCCTGTGCCCAGTGGCAGGCACATCCACCGCCAAGGCACGCACCGCCTCGTTGCACTTGGCCCCGCACGCCTCGAACTGCTGGAGAGCTGCCACCGCGTCCGACTTGGCGAACTTGGGCCTGAACTGCAACTCGTCGGCCGCGCGCACCTTGGCGTCCAGCTGCTGCTTGGCCTGGTGCACCGCGTGCTTGGCAGCCCCCACGCTGGGCTGCACAGGGCGAGCCGCCTCCTGCAGCCCGCGCACCAGCTGCGTGTAGTGCTCCGCGGTGTGGCTGTCGCCCATCTCCTCGAGCGTGGCCGCCAGGCGCCGCAACTTCGGGACGTCGTCCGCGGTGAACTGCTTGCC